TACTTCAGCTCTTCTTTTACATTCTTTCTGCCTCATGTTCATCAGTTATCTTTGTGCCTTAGAGGAAATGATTATACATGTATTCTAATGGCTAAAAAATAGGTCACAACATCATAATAACAACATTTGTTTTCATAATCTTCACCATTGATTATGACTTGAGGCTGACAATAACACTCAAGTATAGGTGTATGCACACATATTTTAAAAAGAGTTTCACAATCATATTACATCAACTAAGAAAAGCTACCAAAGTAGCTTACTCACTCTCAGATTTTTCCTTTAGGTTATAGCAACAACTTAAACTCCCTATGATTGAGTGCCCATTGAATCCAATTGGAAGAGAGTTGTTCTTGTCCTTAATAACTGAGCCACTACTGCACAAGAAGTAAAGGCTTACTTGTAATGGTGGTACTTTATTTTAACATGCAGTGTCAAAAGTCAAGCAGTACTGTTAGTGACTTTTCACTAGGATCCTTCATGTCCTTCATTGACAATGTAAAAGTAAGCCACCAAAACAAAAAGCAAAAAACAAAAAAAGCCCTCCAGAATACCCTTATACAACCCACAGACTGCATGGAGTTTAACAAGAAGGAATGCACAAGTAAGGACACTTAAATCCCACTTAGACGGGGAAATAAAATTATCATCAGTGACAGAGGGAGAGAGAGACCTGAGTGGGAGAAGGACTGGGTAAGGAAATAGGAAATAGGATTGATATGGGCTTTGGGGGACAGGAGAGAAGACTGGAGGTCCAGGAGAAGGGATGAAAATATGCAGCATCCTGAGCTGGGAGGTAGGGTGACTCTCTAAAATGTACCAGAGACCCAGCAGGTCAGAAGCTTTCAGGACTCAATGGGGCTACCTTAGCCAAATTGCCCAACAAATGGAAGAGGGAATTGGAACAATCTACTTCCAGGAATAGATAGGGTCTTAAATGCAAGGAAAGATTTACTATCCCACAGTCAACACTTCTGTTACAGAACTATTCCTGTCTAGAAGAACTGCAGGGACATAAATGTAGAAGAGACTCAAGACAAGAGCCTAACATGGCTGCCCTCTGATAGGGTCTACCAGCAGCTGACTGAGACAGATGCACATACTTATATCCAACCATTGGACTGAAGTTCGGCACACCTATCCTTGAATTGGGGGAAGGATTATAGAAACCGAAGGGTAGAGTGACCTCATAGGAATATCAGCAGTCTTAAGTAACCTGGTCCCGAGGAAACTCCCAGAGACTGATTCATCAATCAGTCAGGATACATGGGCTTGTCCCAGGCCACTGGTACTTATGTAGCCGAGGACTGCCTGGTATGGCCTCAGTTGCAGAAGATGTGCCTAATCCTCAAGAGACTTGAGGCCCCAGAGAAGGCAGTGGGGTCCTGGGCATGGGGAGTACCCTCTAGGAGGCAAGGACGAGGAAGATTAAGATGAAGAACCATGTTAGGGGGAACCTAAGGGAGGGGAGACAATAACTGGAAAGTTAATAAATAAAATAATACTAATAAAAAATCTGGGATTTTTTTCTCAGAGAAAAGAATCCTTAGAGGAAAAGAACCATCTCAGTGAACCGTAGTTGCAAAAAAGACTTGTGAGATCATACCAGCTGCCAGAAGAATGCAAAAAATACAAAGCATCCTGGAAGAAGTTTCCAACCTTTTGAGTGTTCTAAAGGTTGTGCAGTATACTCCACATTCCCACATTTGTGTGGTTTTACCTGTGCCATGGGTTGCTTTAGGGAGCTGAAGGGGTTTGCGGCCCCACGGGGAGAACAAAAATACCAACCAACAAAAATACCAACCAACCAGTGATCCCAGGGTCTAAAGCACCAGCCTGGGAGCACAAAGGAAGGGACCCATGGCTCAAGCTGTATATGTAGGCGAGGATGATCTTGTTGGGTATAGGTGGGATAGGAGGTCCTTGGTCCTGTGAAGGCTGGATGCCCCAGTGTGGGGAAATTCGAGGGTAGAGAAGTGAGTGGGTGAGTGGGAGCATAACCTCATGGAAGTAGGAGGAGAGGGGTTGGGATATGGGTTTCTAGGTGGGGTGGGAATGAGGAAAGGGGATAACATCTGAAATGTAAATAAAATATCCAATAAAAATTAATTTAAAAAACCCAACTTTATGAGATGATTAAGGTCCTTAAAGAGGAAATGAATAAGTCTCTTAAGGAAATTCAGGAAAACACAAATAACTGGAGAAAATGGCTAAATCTTTTAAAGAAAATTAAAATTATCTGAATAAAAGTAGATTCTAAATGAGAGGAAGAAAATAAAGGTAAATAAACCCTCACCCATATTCTGGTATAAAATCCTAATAAAATTTATTAGTTTACCAAATTGAACTTTGGGTTATGTGTGTGTGTGTTCTGGATCTGCGATTAAGAGTCATGTATGTTGCATTTACCCAAGTAGGGTTCTTTAATACAACAAAATTAAAGACTATATGTAAATATTTTGAAATTTTAAGCCTCTATCACATTGTTAGCATTACCTATTCTATTTTTTAAAGTAGCAGAACTAAACAGATACGTCTTTCTTATAATGTGCAATATAGACATACATTGCCTAACAAGTATCCTACGGTGTTATCTCCAAGATGTTATTACCATGTCTGGAATTTCACTAATAGTTATTTTTGTCATAATAGTCTTATGACAACCAATGATTTTCTTTAACTATGCAGACTTTGTAAAATTATGAATTAAGAGGAGATTTTCAACAGCTTAATTAAATGTTATTATTCAGAACTACACTCATGGAACAATCCTTGAACAACCGATATTTTGTCCATGAGGATGACACAGTAAGCCTTTAGAGTATTTGAGGACTAGAGGGATGTGAATGATACTGTTTTTCCAGTTACACTGTAGTCCTTAACCTTACACTTAATTTATAAAAATGGCTAAAATACTAATTAGTCTAAATTTTTATTCTTTGTTCAGTGTTCCTTTGACCCCTGTTAAACTCTACTCTTAGCTTCTATGAACATTCAAATAACAGTATCCCTCTGTACTCTTCACATAATATACCACCTAGTGTTATGGTAAATCTCTGACCCAAATAAAACTGGTCAAGGGAAATACAACTCAATAATTATGGATATAACCTGCATGCCTAGATTGGACAGATTTACCATTACACTACTCTATTCCCCAGCTATGAAATTCCTTATAACTTGCAGTTTTTCCAGGCCATGTGCTTCTCCTCCATTGTCTTTCCAACTCTTGCTCCTCCATTGACTTCCTCCTCCTTCACCTTCTTCCCCTGTCAACTTCCTCTTCCATCGACTTCCTCTTCTGCCTTCCTCTCTTTCTCTCTCCTACCCCGAGCCTTCTTCTCTGCATCCCCTTCTACTGCCCAATCACTGGCTCTAGTCTTTATTTTACAAATTAAGGTGGACAGAAGGTTCACAAGAAGTCACCTGTGTATCTACTCACTCCTCTTCTTCAGCCCCTCCCAGGAAAGTAGAACTAGCATCAAAATACAAGGCTGGGGCTATCCACAACAACCTAAGGTGTCTGATCTTAAGAATTCCTATAACAGATCAAACTTTTACTGCTACTAGGGTATCTGATCTTAAGAATTCCTATAACAGACCAATCTTTCATAAATTCATAAAATTTAATATTGGGAATTCAGCTTCAAATTATATATGATATATATTAGTCTAGTCAACATTTCAAATTATTCTGATCATTTAATAAGTTAATAAATTATAAATAAATAATTATTAAATTTCATAATAATTTCATTGTAACACAATAATATTCATTCCTCCATTCCCTATAAAACTTCTACCATATTTCAACACAAACTTTTCCCAAATTTTGGCATTGATTCTTGATAATTCACTATGTGTATTTAGTGATGCTAAACTGTGCAAAAATTTAGGGCCACTTATTTACTAGAAAGTGTATATTCTAAAACAAACCATGTCCTCAAAAAAGAATGAGTTTTCCTCCCAAATTCTTCTCTACTTCTTATAGCTTAAAGTATTCTGTAGGAGTCCTGAAGAAGATCTCCTGAAATTATGCCAGTGTTTTCACTCTTTCATTTTTGGAGATTTTGTTTAGTAATTAGAATTTCAAGAACAGCATCCTATTATAAAGATATAATTTCACAATATTTCTAAGTGATTGACCTTTAATTCCTCTGCCTTTTATGCCAAGGTATTTTCCAAGCCTTGAAAGTGAAGGGACTCAGTTAGCTGTTCTACTTAAGATGGAGAACCTTGTCTGATATTCTCTGTACTTTAAACCATTAAACATTTCTGACATGGTTGCTGTGTATTATATAAATAATCTTGTATGACTAAGTTTGAAAGAAGACTATGTCCTCAAATATAAACACAAACACAAAGATGTGCATTTGAGGGAATGACCACTTAACAAAATAACAACAGATATTATGGACCCATTTATATCCTCATTCATGAGACTTTCAATGGAATTACAATATAAATCAAATCATGAAGTATCTTCATGTTGAACAGTATTAAAATTAAAACAGAAAGCAGTGATGCCATCATAATTTTTATTTTCCCAAGTCCTGGGATATCGTATTACAGAGAAATTATTTAATTATTCTTTATAAGTTTCTTTGTAGTGCTAGAAAAATGTAAAGGGTTTCCTTGTTAATAGCCATATGTATATACTATCTACATGGCAAAATTTTCTTCCTAGAAAGTAAGAATAACACAAAATTAACAGGTATATGGATATTACATGAAATAATTTGCAAAGCCTAGTGCCAAATTTCAGATACCTGAAAATTTCAAAGTAAAAACAAACCATCATTAGAGATACAAAAGTATTTGATTACATAGTTTGATCCAATAAACTGAGGTCCAAGTCATATGCTAGAACTTTATTATGTAGCTTATCTTCTACATTGTTTACATGGTAGAGGCTTCATATTTCAACATAATATTTGATGAGTAGAAAGCAGCTTTGTGAAAATGTAGCTATGTTTGGTGTACTATATATGTGGTTAAATTTAACTTACGTTTTTAGCTTTAGCATATGGCTTTCCGAAATTGTGAAAAGAATTTGCCTTTGGTTTTAATAAAATAATATAGCACTTTGGGGCAAAAATGCATAGAAGCAGCCCTGCACTTGAGACCAAGATACAGAAAACCTCCACAGCAACCATAGCCTTGCCTTTGGTGCTGTGGTAGACAGGGATGAAAGTGATCCAGACAGTACAGAATATGAGCATGCTGAATGTCAAGAGTTTGGCTTCATTGAATGTATCAGGCAGATTCCTGGCCAAGAAAGCTACAGCAAAACTTGCTACAGCAACAGAGCCCATGTATCCAAGTACACAGTAGAAGGCAATCACTGAACCTTTGTTACAAACAATGATGATGTGTCCATGTACCATGTGTACATCAGCATCAACAAATGGAGGAGAAATTCCCAGCCAGATTCCACAGAGAATCAGTTGAATCATGGTGCATATGAGAATGATGTATTTAGGTGCCTCTGGTACAAGCAGCCACCTCATTCTTCTTCCTGGAACAGTGATCTTGAATGCTAGTACTACAGTAATTGTCTTGGCCAAGACAGTAGAGGCAGCCATAGTGAACACAAGAGCAAATGTGGTCTGCTGCAGGATGCAGATGACCATACTGGGCCGACCAATGTAAAGCAAGGAAGAGATAAAACAAAATATGAGGGAGATGAGTAGGACATAGCTTAGATTTTGGTTATTGGCTTTGACTATGGGAGTCTCTCGGTGTTTCAGGAAGACACAAAGTACAACAGATGTAAGGACAGAGAAGCATAGAGCAAAGCCAGCCAGAGCTATTCCCAAAGGGTCTCCATAATCTAAAACAGTCACAACTTTTTGGAAGCAGAGAGTTTGATCTGCGTTGGCATATTGATCCTCTGAACACTTCACACACTGATCCATGTCTAGTATAGGAAGGGAAGTATTATCATATATATATATTTATTGTAAATTACAAGATATACTGAATTAATGCATTAGAAAATCATAGCCAAATTAGACTTGCATATTGTGGTATACGGAAATTTAAATATGGAAGCTGCATAGCATTTGATCCAAATTCCAATGCTTATCATCTTTATGCAAGCTTCTGTTTATAGCTATCTTATAAATTCAAGATGTTTATAGTTCATTTCAAAAAATCATACCATCACATAATATTCATGTTTCCACAATCACATACCTTAGATTTATCATTCATGGAAACAAATTTTTCAGTAAATTATGCTCTATATTATGCATACTTATAATTGGCTGTTGCCATATATCTTACTCTTTATCGATCACCAATTGTTTTATTCTACATGTGGTCTCAAGTTGATTGGTGGACAAATAAATCGCATCCCCTCCATGTCTTGGAAAATAACCTATGGTTAATATGTTACTAAATCATTGTAATCCCTAACTATGCTCCAAATATTATTTTTTACAAATGCAGGTAAGTATAATCCTTACTGCATGAAAGGAAGAGACACCACTAGAGAAAATCATAGGAAAATTGAGGAATACAAACAGGATAAACTTTGCCAAGAAAATACAAAAGATGGAAGAAACAAACTCGGGCATTGAAGTCACTATAGCAGAAATTGATTCAGAGGTCAAAGAATATATTAAATATAAAACTCCATGAGACAAAACATTCAGAACATATAGGCCACTATAAAATATCCAGATTAAAAATATTAGATGTACTGTGCATCAAATCACAACGAATAAATAGAGCTTTTCCTTTATCAATCCCCTGGGCACAGCAGGTCCTGCACAGCTTGCTCTAGAATGTTGCATCAAGAGCTCTGAATATCAATAAAAAGTTGAGAGGAAATCCCCATCAAGACTAGTCCCTTTGGTCTCCAGGGCTGGTGTCTCCTTTGCTGATAGGAAGATTAAAATTAAGACAAGATGGGGAGGACACTGTTTGCCTGTGTAGACATCTCCGTGCACAGGATTTAAGAAGTAAAAGCTCCTATATGGAAGGTTTCACATCTGAGCAGCAAAGTCGGTTCTGAGTTCAGTAAATAAAACCTTCTGATTCAAAAACAAAACAAAGAAACAAAACAAAAAACAAAACAAAAAAGGAAAAGAACAAAAGAAAAAAGTATTAAGTTTCACAAGCTGTTTGTACTCAAATATATTTTCTCAGTTTCAGATCCTCAGCTATTTTATTGAGTGGAAAGCCTTGGACGAGAAGGGTTCAAGAAGAATAATGTTGCACTTCCTTATGTGTCAGGAAACACTTTTTATGGTAACTTGTCAGATTGTCTATGAACAAATCCACTTTTTAGACATTGATGAATTCTTTTCTTCACGTGATATTTTATACAAGAACACTTCAGATGTGTGATTAGATGTGCCTGATTTAACAAATCCTATTAGATTTGTATCAGCTAGTTACATGTTCTATTCATAGTCCTTTGTGAATCATTGCCTTTTTGTTTTTAAAGATGGCCTATTTTGAGCCTTTGTATAGGTACATTCCTGTTTTTGTGACACAAGAAAAACTTTAAACTGTCCCAAACAGAAAAATAATGGCTATCAGATGTTTTGTTTTAGTGTGAGTTATCTTTACTGTATTTGTTTATTGTAAAGGTGGACATTTTATCATTCATTGCAGTTTTCAATAAAAAGGAATTAAAAAATTTTTAAAAAAGAATATTAGATGTAAAGGAAGGAGCATGCCAGCTCAAAGGTCAAGAAAATATTTTTAACAAAATCAGGGAATAGCCTATTCCTAACCTAAAGGCACATAAAAAGCCACGGGAAGCATGCTGCACAATAAATATTTCTGACCAGAAAATAACGTGTCATTGCCACACAATAAACAATACTCTAAGTAGATAGAATGAAAAAATTAAAATCTGTAAGGGAAAAGAACAAATAACAATCTGTGCCCTGGAAGTAAACTTGTGCCAAGCTATCCACATCCAAATCCTGCAAAGAGAGCGCTGGTCTCCCAGAAGTGCTGACATACCTAAGATCACAGATGAGACCACAAATACTATTCCAATACCTGAATCAATTGGAACCCACACAGAATCCACAGGACATCTGAACTGAGGAGCAGCCTGGTAGAGAATCTTTCCAGTTTCCATCTGCACCCCAGAGCTGACCCTGAGCCACATGTCTCTGCACCCAAATCCTGCCCAGAGAGAGCAGGTCTCCAAGGAGTGCTGATACAACTAAGATCACAGGTTCACAGATTCACAGGAGGGATAGTCAGAAAGAGTAAGATCAGCAAACACCAGAGATAACAAGTGGCAAGAAACAAGCCAAAGAACATAAGGAACAGAAACCAAGGATATTGGACATCATCAGAACCCAATTCTCCCAACACAGCAAGCCTTGGATACCCCGCCAAACTGAAAAAGCAAGATTCTGATTTAAAATTACATCTCATGATGGTTATAAAGAACTTTAAGAAGAACATAAATAACCCCCTTACAGAAATACAGGAGAACACAGGAAAACAGAAGCCCTTAAAGAGTAAACACATAAATCCCTTAAAGAAATATAGGAAAATACAATCAAACAGGTGAAGGACTTGAATAAAACTGTCCAGGATCTAAAAATGAAAATAGAAACAAAAAAAAATCAAAAGAGGAGACAACCCTGGAGATAGAAAACCTAGGGAAGTGATCAGGAGTCATAGATCCAAGCACCACAAATAGAATGCAAAGACACAGAAGAGAGAATCTCAGGCATAGAAGATACTATAGGAAAAATTGACACAACAGCCAAAGAAAATGCAAAAAGCAAAAGCTCCTAACTCAATACATTCAAGAAATACAGGATACAATGCAAAGACAGAACCTGAGAATAATAGGTATAGAAGTGAATGAACATTCCCAACACAAAGGGCCAGCAAACATCTTCAACAAAATTATAGAATAACGTTTCCCCAACTTTAAGAAAGATTTGCCCATAAATACACAAGAATCCTACCAAACACTAAGCAGATGGGACCAGAAAAGAAATTTCACCCATCGCGTGATAATTAAAACACCAAATGAATAGAACAAAGGAAGAATACTGAAAGTAGTAAGGAAAAAAACATTAAGTAACATATAAGGGGGATTCATTAGAAGTACACCAGAGTTCTCAACAGAGATCCTAAAAGCTAGAAGGTCTTGGGAAAATGTAACACAGACCATAAGAAAACAGAAATGCCCACCAAAGGTAATATATCCAACAAAACTCTCAATTACCATAGATGGAGAAACCAAGGTTTCCATGATAAAACCAAATTTAAACAATATCTTTCCACCAATCCAGCCCTACAGAGGATAACAGAAGGAAAAAACCAAAAAATGTAGAGAAAATACACCCAAGGAAAATGAAGAAACTAATTTCAGAACAGTCCCTAAAGAAGAGAACCACACAAGCTTACTTGCACCTCTAACAACAAATGTAACAGGAAGCAACAATCATTGGTCATTAATATCTCTCAACATCAATGGACTCAAAATTCTCCAATAAAAAAACATAGACTAACAGGATGGATATGTAAACAGAACCTAGAATTTTACTGCATATAGAAAACACACTCCAGTGACAAAGACAATACCTCAGAATAAAAGGCTGGAAAAAATTCCAGGCAAATGGTCCCAAGAAACAAGCTGGAATAGCACTTCTAGTCCCCAGTAAAATAGGTTATCAACCAAAAATTATCAGAAAGATGGAGACAACCACTAAATACACATCAAAAGAAAAACCCACCAAGAGAAACTCAGTTTTGAACATATGTGCTCCAAATAAAAGAGGATCCATGTTTGTAAAAGAAACATTACTGAAGCTTGAAGCACACATTGAACCACATAGAATACAAGTAGGAGACTTTAACTCCTCACTCTCACCAAAGGATAGATCATGGAAACAGAAACTAAACAGAGGCACAGTGAAACTAACAGAAGTTATGAACCAAATGGACTTAACAGATATCATAGAACATTTCATCCTAAAACAACAACAACAAAATACCTTCTTTTCAGCACCTCACAGTACATTCTCCAAAACTGACCATATAATCAGAAACAAAAGAAGCCTCAACCAATACAAGAAGATTGAAATAATCCCATGCACCCTATCAGATCACCACAGAGAAAGGCTGCTCTTCACCACCAACAAAACAACAGGAAGCCCATATCCACATGGAAGATGTACAACTATCTACTTAATGATAACTTGGTCAGGAAAGAAATAAAGAAATTGAAGACTTTTTAGGATTTAATGAAAATGAAGATACAACATACTCAAACATATGGGGCACAATGAAAGCACTGCTAAGAGGCAAACTCATAGCTCTAAGTGCTTTCATAAAGAACTTGGAGAGAGTATACACTAGCTGCTTAACAGCTCATCTGAAAGCATTGGAACAAAAAGAATTAAATATGCTCAAAAGGAGTAGATGGCAGAAAAATAATCAAACTCAGTGCTGAAGCCAAACAAGTAGAAACGAGGAGATCTATATAAAGAATCAACAGAACCAGGAGCTGGTTCTTTGAGAAAATCAACAAGATAGATAAACATTTAGTCAGACTAACCTGGGAGCACAGAGTCCACATCCAAATTAAAAAAAATCAGAAATGTAAAATGGAGACATAACAACAGAAACTGAATAAATTAAATAAATTACAAGATCCTACTACAAAAGCCTATACTCAAAAACAACAACAACCCAAAAAACAAACCTTGAAAATCTAGATTAAATGGGTGATTTTCTAGGCAGATCCCAGGTACCAAAGTTAAATCAGGATCAGATAAACCATTAAACAGTGCCATAAAACTTAAGGAAATAGAAGCAGTTATTAAAAGTCTTTATGGGATGTGGAACAGATGGAGGTTGAGTTGGATGGGGGATGGTATACAACTTTAATACCAGCACTTGAGAGGAAGAGGCAAAGGCAGAGAG